GGTGTATCAGCTTTCAGCCACCAGCACTCCATCACCGTCAGCCCACTGTCACACACGGCACATGCATCTATCCTCATTTCCTCTGTAATACACTACACAGATGATGTGTACGAGGACAGGCTGTCATCATAAATTCATCTGGACTGTTGATATTAGTGTGCGTGTAAAGCTGCTTACAGGAAAAATCCACAGGCAGATTCTTTGTCATCCTGGCCTACGAGACTATAGCACTGTGTAGAACGTCCACACCATGCAAAGCTGCATGCATACGGACATTTAATATGCCATGTGGGGAGCTACATTGCAAACAAAATGTTGGCCATTTTTAAAAAGAACACGCTGTTGTTAAAATAATGGAGGTGAGACTCCTGAGAGTCTACAAAATCAACTGTCCAAAGGTGTTGGAAAAAAGGTTTTGTTTAGGTTGATTCCATTCATATCATTACCAAATTCAGTGGTTCGATTCCCGGCTTGTCCAGTCAACATGTCGAGGTGTCCTTGAGCAAGACACTGAACCCCCAGTTGCTCCCGGTGATGTCACCGGTGTGTGAATGGCCGAATAATGTGAAAGCGCTTTGAGTGTGCTGTAAAAGTGTAGAAAGGCGCTATACAAGTATAAGATCATTTATTTAAGTTTGAGCGCTTCAGCAAACTCTGAGTTCAGGTTATCTTACACAGAAATGATCCCAGTGTTCCATGTAGTGAGGTATACTGGACTGGACTGACATTCTGCATTAGCAGATAACATAAAACAAGGTAACTGACTCAGTAACTGGGAGGGGAAAAGGTGCAAAAATTGGTGCATTCCTTTTAAAATGTATTAAAATAAAGGTGAAGCAGCAATGAAACGTCATGATGTACCAGAGCTGTTTATTAATTTATTAATTATTTTATCTTTTCAGGTGTTACTGATTATACCTAAACAAAAGCAGGTAGAAAACCATCCTAATATCTAATTTTCTAAAAAGCTTGTGTGACCTTTGAACAGAAATATAAACAATTACTCAAACCAGAGTTTGTGATTGCAATGCATTCTGACCTATTAAAGCTAAAATAATTACTACCTCTGGCTCTGGCTGAGGCCCAGTGTAATACTGTATCATCTGCCTGGTACAAAACTATGCCACAAAGAAGCCAAATATATCCAGACATCTGATGAATAGCTGGATGTTTGGGTGTCTACAGTATGTAAAAGTATTTTTTCCTACAAAAGTGCACAGTCACCATATACAGCCCAGGTCATCTACCACTGAATATGACCCATTAATCAGCAACGAGATCATCCAGTATTGATTTTCCACTGTGTGCGTGTTAATGTGCAATGCTCCTTCCCACAAAACTGCAGCGTTACATCTAGAATATCATCTTCTCTACATCCTGTAAGCGTGTGTGTGTGTGTGTGTGTGTGTGTGTGTGTCCCACTTCAGTCTGATTCTTTCAGCGAAAAGCGGATCCTCATGACTTAGGAATGTTGCGAGTGCCTCAGAGGCCTTAAGATGGGAAACTATGCACTGATTCCTGGAGGTCTTTGCTGTAACATTAGCCTGCACACACTCTTCCGCTGTGACCTCTGCGCTGACTCACTTATTGTATCTGCTAAAGCACGAACAGCTCTCTATTAGGAGGTGTGTCATACAACCACTCACTCACAGACTCGCACATTAACACACACATGCAGCTCAGCAGATGGTCCAATGTGTGTGTTAGGCCCCAGTGTTTTACAGACATCTCCTTGTTGGCCAGTGTCTTGCCCCAGACAAAGTCAAACCCTACTGAGGACTTTCTACCCATCTGACTGACCTCAGCTTCACTCTCCATGTCAGACTGCCTTTAATATTTCACTCATTTTTTTGGATTCCTAAAAAAGACACAGCTACTGTGCTTTGTTTCCTGAACTGAAGTCTATTGATCACTGCCTCCAACATTTTCCCTGTAAAACTGTGTCATTCTTTAATTTCTATATGAATGCAGTGCTCTGTAAATAATCAAAGTCCTTCAGTAAATTCAATTAAACGCTAATTCATACAGCAAACACAATATACAACCATTTTTATGGATTCAGGATGTGGGAGGTGAGATACATGTAGTACAAGCTGGGTTTCTTATTTTTGGTTAAGTCGCCTTTAGCAATACCAATTCATGGTGTGAAGGACAAACAAACAAACATCAATGACAATACCATCCACTAATTCTAATCAAGTTTTATGTATGCAGTGTGTTCACAGTGGAAAAGAGATGTATACTAGGTCCCACTGTAACAACTGAGCCATCTCCATGACAGCTTAACAAACTCCCTACTCTGATGAAGACCATGAAATGTGGCTGAAAGCTCTGCAACTTTCCAGTAAGCGGACTATGACAACCTACAGTCAAACTGCTGTCTCCCAGGTTGGTAATCAACCTTAGACCTCAAAATGGATGGATAATGGAAATAAATTTTATTTAACAAGAAAAACATGTAAACAGCTTCACAAGGTTTTACAGCACTGTGGTGCTCGGAGCTAAATGCACGCTGACATACTGACAAATCAAATGCTAATATGCTAATGTTTAGCGGTGGTTAGTGCTGTCGCCTCACAGCAAGAAGGTTCCGGGTTCAAGCCCAGGCCGACCTAATGCCTTTCTATGTGGATGTTCTCCCTGTGCCTGTGTGGGTTCTCTCCAGATGCTCCGGCTTCCTCCCACAGTCCAAAGACATGCGGCTTAGGTTGATTGGTGACTAAATTGCCTGTAACAGTGAATGTGGTTGTTGGTCTACATGTCAGCCCTGCGATAGACGGGTGACCTATCCAGCGTGTACCTCACCCAGTGTCAGGTGACCTTATTCAGGAATAAGCGGTCTAGATAATGGATGGATGGGCGTTCACTATGTTTACCATGTAAGTAAATACAGTTAGGTAGATGATAATGTCACTGTTTTTAGATATTTGGTCATGAACCAACGCAGTGGACAAATTGAACTGTTGACTTGATGATTGTGCTACAAGAAAAGTTGATAAGTTGATAGGTGACAAGCCTGCTTCTGCTTTTAGAGAAGATTGTGTGGGAACCAAAAAACACAGCAGTTTAGCTCAGTGAGAAAATTCACATGGAGAAAAAGGAGAAGAGAAGCTTATCAAACTGCATAAACCACTGGCATCATGAGCAGTAGTGACCCACAGAAACAATGCACCACCTGTTCTTGACTCCTTGTTGCAGACAGTGGTGAACTTCGTACTGCAAGGTAGTTGGAAAAAGCCAAATGCAAATTATTATCAGCGTCACCGATGTCTGGAAACCGACTGCATGCATCAGTGCTGCTCTATCTCCTTCTGGCTGTGTGCTACTGCAGATGTGTAGACTCACTGAAAACACAGCGGTCTCCTTTCCTCTACTTGAAGTGTCTAATCTGAAACTGCATTTTAAGTCATTGTCTCCTGAAGTCAGGTTCCAGTGAATTAAACCATATTTAAGTTCAGGTGAGTTCTTGCCCTTTAAGACTCCTGTAGGGGGTTCCGCACACCCCCATGGTTCCCAATTTATGAACCACTAGCTTAGTGTATGAGCTCTTGGCATTTTTTCCGCCAGCGTGCGACCTCAGCCAGGTCGTGAGAGGCTCTGCTTGAGGGCCCAAGGCGATAATCCTCCCAACCACCCACCTTTGATCTGCTAATCACCTGCCTCAGCCTCAGCAAAGGCAGGGAGAGGCTGCGGGGGGTGGGAGGATGAGGGGACAATAATAACCTTAGCAGTTGAAATTGAAGCCCTTGTGGTTTGTGATTGGAAGGAAATGAGGCTCTGAGTAGGTTGCTGAGTTACAATATTAAGATTTGTAATCTTTTCCAAATTCCTGAGAAGTGTCCTAATGTTTATTGTTGTTCAGAGAAAGTAAGATGTGCAGTTAATCTCTATTTAACATGCAGCCTCATCACTAGACACCTAAAAATGAAGGAAATATTAACCTGATACTTTTCTATGAACACTGATTCAGGGGTCAGGGGTTCGAGAGATCAGGTGACATCTAAAGTTCCTGGACGAGGTGACACTTGTTAACCTAATATCATGTCCTCATCTTGCTCACAAAAGAAATCAGAAACAACGATGTGAGTGATTTTGACAATCAAGAAACAGAAGCACTTTGAGCTAAACCCACATGACCTTGATCAAGAAACCCACGTTTGTTTGTTTGTTTGTTTGTTTTCTCTTATGACAAACATGCAGAGCTGTTTAACAACCAGCTGGACATCCTGCATGGGAGGCCTTCCCAGCATCACGTGAGCACACAGTGCTACACAAACACCACAGTAATGCCCCTATAAGACCAGCCTAGTCAGAAAGGAAGCAACAATACATGGAGTCTTCTATCAAACAGATATTTGCCATGCAATAAGTAAGTGAACAAAATGTGAGGAGCTGTTGTTTCCAAGCATAAACATTATGACAATTGTCAGTCATGAAACTGAAGGTGTTGTCTGTTCCTTTGTGCTCAGTATGCAGTGGCATCTCTCAACATTCACACAATACAGGCTCAAGGAGAGAACAGGGATCTTTACACTGTCTCAAAGTGATCAATTCTGTCTGAGACACGTGCCTTATACATATTTGGCTTATAGCCTGCATTACTTCTTTTCTAGCTGCCTTAAAGTGTGCTTTGCTTCAGGGAACCCTCTTGGCTTTGCATCACAGGCTTCCTTTCTCTGCCTTTCCTCCGTCCTGCAGCAGCTTAAAAGCACACAAAGCTCCTGAACCGTCTCCTTTAGTCAGGTTTTTACCTCATGCACACCATATGGAGAGATTGTTCTTCTGATACAGCGCTGCACAATGTTGTACAGTTTACAACAGCAGCAGAGAAGCGTGAAGCTATGATTGGAGCAGTGGTTCCCTGGCTCATTTCTGGTGCGCTGACCTATGATGAAGCTGAATTATGCCTAATTTTGCAGCACGGGATCCCCCCCAGGATTCCCCCGGGGCTCCCCGGACACTGTAGCGGTCTTGGACAACAGATGAGAGCGGCTTCTTACCTCAGCAGGCTGGGCAGAGGGATGGAGCCGGAGCCGGACCCCAGTATCCCCTTCTTCCCACTCAACAATTTCTCCACCACGGCGACATTCCCGGTCCGGGCGGCTTCCAGCAGCTCCTGCTCCTTTCCCATCCCGGACACAAGTTTGCAACGATGGGGTGATAAAAATCCAAGAGATCTCCCATATATCCCTCCTCTCCTCCTCCCCTCCGAGCGTTTCCTTCACTGTCTGGTGCGGGGAAACATCAGAAAGGATCCCTGTCACTGCACGCTGCTGCTGCGCGGTGATATAGGTGTTATCGATGCTGCAGAGTAGGTCTGATGTGCACGGCTCGCCTGGCTGGAACCTCAGTCCATTCACGTGCACGGCTCCAGTGTCCTCCACTGTCAGTCCGCTCACACACACGGCTCCTCGGTGCAAACGAGCGCAGCGGAGGGAACCGGAGGCTACAAAGCGAATCCCTTAACGTAACCGTGAGGTAAAGAGTGACCGTGGTTTCAAAAACAAGAAGACAAACTCCTTCTTTGTCTGAACAGACGCTGCTGCCTGTTGTGAAGCTCCTGCTGATACCGAGAGGGAGGAGAAAGCCCGTCCTCCTCCACAAGAAGCTTCCCAGTCCCGGTGGAGTCACCAACTCTCTCCCCTGAACCTACCGCACTGGCCGGTGCCGATCTGTCTCTGGAGACTCGGCTGTCAAGTTAACCGGGACGAAAAGGTCGACTTCCGGTTACAACTTTAGCTGTAAGCCCCTCATTTAAGGAATGGCCTATGTCAAAAAGTCATGATGACACGATATCCGCCAGAAGATAGAGACACAGTAGAAATGTTCCTCTGCTGGAGGAGGCTTCTGTCTTCTGTGGAGAAATGTGATTGGCTTCGGTACTGAAAGGATATAGGCCTATCGGCTATAAATAAAGATTTTAAATGCATAATATATTCCTTTACACAGTGTAAGATAGATAGATAGAAAGGACAATCTGTCACTGCAAATGCTACAAAATAAAGTGCATTTCTGTTGATGAAGATAAATGACAAACCACAATGCATTATGATGATCTGAGAACCAGCACTGGTCTGGATGTTCACATGTACTGTGGGACTTGCCTTTATTTTGAAAGCAACTTCCTGTGTTATTCTGTGACCTGACTTACTGTACAGTCTGGGCGTGACGATGCTACAACGCCATTTGGAGGCCATACTTTAAAAAAAAAAGTCACATTC